TGAGGGACTTAGTCCAGCGACACATAGCGGAAACCTGGCAACGGCAGGCCCGCTATTACAACGCGAGACGGAAAGCGAGGGAATTCCAGGAGGGGGATAAGGTATGGAAAAGGAATCGAGTACTATCCTCCTCGGCGAACTGGATCGCGGCGAAATTAGCGCCGAAATTCGCGGGGCCCTATCGGATAGGACGCGTAATTTCTCCGGTCGTGTATGAACTCCTGAGTGAGCAGGGGAGACCGATCGGAAAGGTGCACGTAAAGGACCTGAAGGCATGGAGGTCAGAAACAGGATTAGAGACTAACAAGAACGATTCTGTTTCAGATTTACGAAAGCATGGCCGACCCAGCGAGTCCAGAGCGGATGGAGACGGACGGGACGACAGGAAAGATCGTCGTCGAACTCCTGCCGCAGGAGCTGGAGGGTCTCAGGGCGATGCTAACCCGGGAGCGGGAGAAAGCCGCACGGGAGGAGGAGGCGCGGCTAAGCGCGTCACTCTCCCGGGGTCTCCAGGTAGGGGCCGTCAACGAGGTCGACGAGGAAGCCCTCCTGGCAGACTACCCGGAGAGCAGCGAGGAGAGGGCCAACGAGACGACGCCGGGAGCCCGGGAGGACAAGCCGCCGGCTCCAAAAGAGACCGTGCTTCCGGCGCCTGCCCTGAGGGCCACCGAGGCAAGCCCGCCACGTCCAGCACCGCGCCGAGCCCGGTCAAGGGTCCGCTGGGAAGACGAGTCGACCGAGGACGAGCGCGCCACGGGACCGTCGTGGAGGACGGTCCGGCGGAGGATGGCCCGCCGTCAGCAGCGGGACAGGAGTCCGGCACCCCGTGGGGAAGCCGCTTACGGCCGAGAGCGCGGCGCGGGGAAGCGCGAGCGATCGCGTGACCGGTTGCAGTCTAGGGGTCCCGCGAAGAAACCGCGGCCGAACAGCGGCACTCTCGGCGAAGGCCAGGGAGAAGCCCTGGGTGCAGCGGTAGCCGCGGTCGGCCGATTCACGGTCGACCAGTGGAAGACCCTGAAAGGGTGAGTCGATCGTGGGGAGATCGGCCTTCACGAGATCCCAAAGTGCTGGAACTGCGGAGCGACAGGCCACCGGCACCGGGACTGCTGGCAGCCGAAGCGTCGCTACTGCGATCGGTGCGGCGAGCGAGGCACCGAACGGGAGCGGTGCCTGCGCTGTGCCGCGTAGCGTGCCGCCGGGAATAGTTTAGGCCGCATGTAGTGGCTGAACGGCGGCAGGAAGGAGGAAGTCCAGGGGTCCTAAGACCGTGCGTATTCCGGCCGGCCCCTGGCCGGCCAGAGAGAAGCCGTGCAGCAAAGTCCGGCTCGATAAGGAGATCTTGCCGGACCATCGAACACCGAGAAGGAAGAGAGTGCGGCACCCGAGGGAAGCCGCGAGGACTAGCAAGCAAATGCGGTAGAGCGGCACCACAGGGAAGCCGCCACGCAAAACTAGAGCAACAAGGCGGAACGCATCTTCCCCTAGTGAGAGATACGTCCCGGATAAGGGGGGGGGAGTTGTAACGTGGCGTCCGTGGGACGGCCAATTACATAAAAGCATAGGGGCACGGAGAGCCGTGTCGCCGACGAAAGCCGCCAAGAGAATACCTATGACGACGAAGGTTCGTGGCAAGGGGAAGCCAGGGAGAGAAGAACGGGCGGGCTTGGGTAAGATCGGTGCCGCCCGGCGACTGGCGGGCTGTCAGCGCCGAAAAGCGGAGAGCGGACCGAGGCGAAAGTAAGCGCACGAGTTCGGGTGAACTCAGGATTCTTCGTGAATCCTCGGACCGAGGGGCCGAAAGGGGGCACACTTCGTTGTTACTCGCGGAACAGGAATACCGAAAATGGGCGGATAAGGTATCGCGATTTTTCTGGTTTGAGTGTGGTGAGAGTGTGTGAGATTTGCAGGACCTGTTGGGCAACATGGATTTTCCCCGGACGTGATATGGAATTGGATCTATCGACGACGTCGGCGCTACGGAACTCAGAGTGATAGAGGAAGGAGACGGCCGACGAGGAGGAAAATTGCCAACCACCACCACCCGAATGACGAGGAAGAAAGGTACGGTTCACCGAAAGATTCGGTAAGTGCAGTTTAGGCGACCGCCCTAAAGCCATGCAGCCGGGGATGAAGCGCATCTGCCGGTGCATCTTGGCACGAGGAGTGGGGAGCTGCGGGCCTCGCCACGTGTCCTGGCGGTTGCAGATTCGAACCGTCCACCGTCAACGGAGATGACCTCCGCGACCGCGTTGTGTATTAGAATTGTATAGAGCCGCGCTCGTATACATCACCCGACTGTACTCGTTTATCTAGGCAAAAAAAAGGGCCATTGTTGGAATTAAATCCCACCGTGTTAGTCATTACCAAAGAAGCCGGCTGATTCCTGTATGTAATGTATGAAGAAACGCCTGCGTCAGCGTTTATGCGAAGCGAGCCTCGGCGCACTCGCCAACACTGCACATGCGGCAGTTGCTATATAGACGCGCACGAATATGTATCATAAGTAACACCAATTATTAACATCAAATATATATGTATAAATAAATAAGTGTATATTAATGTATTAACCACCCGATATATTACAATGGCGACGAGGATGATTGGAGAAAAAAAGTGCAATTAAGAAATTAAGAGTAAAATAAGAGTAAAACCGTGAAACTGCAGGAAGGTGCAGACGGGAAAACATATGGAAGTTTTCTAACAGTATATTCGGGTATCTGTAGGAAGCTGCAGATGTGGTTAAAGTGCGCGCAACTCAAGTAAAACGTGATACATTATTAAAAGATTAAGGGAAGACAAGTGGCATTAATGTCAAATTGGAATAGACTCGTGTTAGACAAATCTCCGACGTGGGTACATAGCGTCTCTAAAAAAGAACTTATCGAATTTTTGGAAGAATTCGATTTTACAAAGGAAAATCTATTGACGATTTTTGATTATTTTACCGTTGAAGATATAAGAAAAATAGTTAAAAAAGGTGGGATAGTGAAAAAACCAGAAAAAGAACAGAAGATTGACTTAATCAAAAGTTTGGTTGACTATGAAATTGGAGACATATTAGAACTCGCAGACATAGATGAGTTACGCAAAGTAGTGAAACAAGTCATAGAAGAAATTAGATATAATCAATTCACAGTGCTAACAGAACAGTTAAAAGTAGCAAAAAGTGCCACGAAACCAGAAGACACGTCGACAGAAAACGTAAGCAAATCGGAAGAGAACGAGCAAAGTAAAGCAGAGGTGAAGAAACCTGAAGAATCTGCAAGCTCAGACGTATTTCACAACGGTGAAGACGTGGACAGTACAGAGGTCAACGACAGCGAAGAGTCAGAAGAAGACAGAGAAATGGGAGAACGAGGAAGAGTTCATTTTTCGCTGCATAAGGATGATTGGGAAACATTCATTGAGCAAATGGAAATGTATTTTGAAGCAAAAGAAATTAAAGCGGATAAGCAAAAATCAAACTTATTGACGCAAGTGGATACAGATACATTTAAATTAATTAAACAACTTTTGACTCCAGAAAAAATAAAAGATAAAAGTTATGACGACATAGTAAAAGTTATGAATGAACATCTTAATCCAAAGCCATCGGAAGTGATGGAGAGATGTAATTTTAATACGGCAAGACAAGAGTCGTCAGAAACAGTGGCTGAATTCGCAGCAAAGCTTAAAAAATTATCATTGAAGTGCGATTTTAAAACAAACCTAAATGATGCATTAAGGGACCAGTTCGTGGTTGGTTTAAAAAACCACGATACGAGGGTAGACCTTTTCAAAAAAGAAAAATTAACCTTTGAAGACGCGCTTAAGGAAGCTACAGCACAAGAAGCTGCTGAGATAAATGCATCAGGCACCAGTAAAATAATAGGCAATCAAGATAGAAAAAGAAAAGTGTTTGCCTTAAGGTCCACGCAGCCTCATGGGAAAAAGTAAAAGTACGGGAAGGCGTACTGAGCATGGCACACGTCAGCCGTCAGTAGCTGATAATAGGAAGAATTATTCACGTGGAATAACATGTTATTGTTGTGGAATGCCAGACCACTTAAGTAGAGAGTGCCGATGTAAGGATCATGTTTGTTACAATTGCAATAGAAAAGGACACTTAAAGCAAGTATGCAGGACTCGAAGACCAAATAAACACAAGGACCAGCAGCGAGTACAGCTCCTGCAGGACGACGATGAGTCAGGGGGCAACGGCCAGATAGCTGACGAAGCAGGTGGAAGTTTCGAAAATAAGAGAGACTTTCTTTACTTAAATGAACATGAAGAATTTGTGTGCAAACAGGTAATGAGCGACAAAGATATAGAAGGTAATCCAATGTTTGAAAATGTAAGTGTGAACGGAATTAATGTAAGAATGGAAATTGATACAGGTACTTACGCGACAGTAATTTCAGAACAATGTTACAATAAATATTTAAAAAATTTCAAAGTTGTAAAAACCGAAAGAAAATTAAAAACGTATGATAATAGCATTTTACAGCCGATAGGTAAATTATGTAATTTAACTGTACAATTTCGAAATAGAAAAAGCATATTAGAATGTTTTGTGCTACCAGGTGCTGG